TTTCAAGAAAAACAAAACTCTTGATTTCTCCCTCACACCAAACCTTTTCCTAACCAACTGTTAGTTCACCCCTATAATTAGTATCACATTCACCTGGTTGATGTGATAGTCATTTCTATAGTCATTGCTGATCCAACTCTTTTTATCATATCTATTGATAAGTTCTGTCAACTGTATCTCTGAAAAATTTACTTTCCAATTACATGGATACACACATTTGTCAAAACTCACTGAACCACAGGCTTAAAATGCATGTCTTTTATTGTATGTAAAAGTGTATGGGGCTGGGGTTGTGGCTCAGTGGTAGAGTGCTCGCCTACCATGCATGAGGCACTAGATTTGATCCTCAGCACCACATAAATGTAAAATAAAGATATTGTGTCCACCTAAAACTAAAAAATAAATATTAAAAAAAAAAGTGTAAGTTATACCTCAATAAAGTTCAATAGCGGGGATGAGGGTGGGAGTGTGGTCACATGTTACCTATACAAATCTGACCATTTCTTACCACCTACCATTCTGCTGCTTGGACTATTACCAATAATTTCCTGGCATCTTTGCTTCCAGTTCTACTCACAACAATTCATACTCCACAAAGAATCCAAAACAGTATTTTTAAAAGTAAATCAGATGATATCACTTCCCTGCTCAAATCCCTCAATGGCTTCCTATCCCACTTAAATGCAAAGTTCTTACCATGAACTCAAGGCCCTCCGTGATCTAGCCTCTACCACCTGCTCAGATCTCACCTCTTACTGCTTTACTCCTTGTTCACTATGCTCCTGAAACAGTGGTTTGCAAGAGGCTCCAAAATCCCATCAGGCTTATTTCCAATTAATTCTTTTTCCTTTTTCTTTTTAAAACTTGTTTCTAAAGTTCTTTACATTAAGACTCTAGATCATGTCATTAACTCTAGATCATGTCATTAAATAGTCAACAAAGAAATACTTGCTCACGCCACCCAAAGAAGTAAATCTAAAATTAATGCTTCTTAATATAATTTGGCTTTCATAAATTCAAGTTACCACAGAAAGTGCATATAGCTTTCTAATGTCCAGCTGGAAAATTAAACTGGGATCAGTTACAGAGAGCCTGGTAAATCAGATTAAGGAGTTGATATTTTATCTTACAGGCCAATATTAGTTACAAACTTAAAAACTGAAATGAGCTATCTTTTTATTTTTCAAATTTGGAGGTCACAAGGATATATGAAATCATGGAGCAAGAGGAGTTACTTTCAGGGATACACATATACACACACACACACACAAACACACACATGCACCTTTTTGTATTTCTAGAGTTTTAAACCATGTGACTGTATCATCTATTTAAAATATAAATTATAAGTAAAATTACATTTTAAAACAAGAAAAAGGAATACAATATAGAAAAATCTTTACTCCTCCTACTCTAAGAATTAGATGAAAGAAATATAAACACATAGATAAAACATATTCATATTTGTATATAATGAAGAAACACACAAAATACAATATATCCTCATACATATGGTTCATATCATATACCAGAGAATGCCCTAACAAAATTTAATTCTGCAACCTAGTTAAATTAGCATCAAAATCAGGACTTGTCGATTTTCAAGCAGTTTCCTTAAAGACCTGTATGTATAACTATTGAGAACTCATATAGTAAAGAAGACTTCCCTCAGAAATCTAATGACATGCAGGTAACAAAAGAAAAGGACAAGAATTAAACAAAGAGAAAACTGACAGCACAATCTCTTTCAAACTCATCTCTAGTGGCCAGTCCATTTACCAATGGCTATATCAGTTAAACCAAGATGAATAATTAAATGACCAAAGACAACAATAAACTATTTCTTAAATCCCTATCATCTCCAAATTTGCTTACAGCTTCTTTATGTGACTCAGAGAATGATACAGGATAGGACCTCTGTATGTATTAACCTTCTCTCCAATATTCTGGTTTTTGATTCTGACCTAAGGTGTAGAACCACTACACCTTGAAAGTATCAGGGAATGGACCCACTTGAACTAATTAGCCAGGGAAAAGGCAAAATACAAGAGAACAATAAAGAGAAGAAGCTTGAGAAGGAGAAAACCCAAAACATCCAATTTTTATTATTTATCCTTTGATCAAGAGTAAAGTATTAAGCTTGTCCATGTCTAGATTAAAAAAAAAAAAATAGCCCCTACTGAAAAAATAGCCTGTAAGCCCCTACTCTGACCTGTTATTTGTAATATCAGGATATTACAAACCTTGGATAAGGCTCATACTTTGTGGCCATGACAAGAGAACATGGGATGTTTCTCCCCTCCTTAGTCACAGAAATAATACTCTCTCCCTTGGAAAATATACCTTGATTCCCATTACCCTCTTCCTTCAACACACTATAGCTTTCCTAAATTCCATTCTATCTATCCTCTTCTAAATAGCAAGGCTCTAAAAAGCAATGGCATCTATATACACAGGTTACCTCCGAGAGCATAATCTCAATGGAATACCAACTGTTCTTCATTTTTATAGTTACTTTCTTCTTTAATTTATCAGATCTACTTTCTTATCTTCTTAATACTTGCAATTTATCTTCAGTGCTCTACTAATGCCTATTTCCTTTCACTAAATCAGAATCTCTAAATTTCCTTTCTCTCCTATTTTTCCACACTCCCAAAATAATATCTGAAAATTATAGGAAAACATTCAAATGCTTCTAGCATTAACTTCAGATCCTACCATAAGACCTATTTTAATATGTATACCTATGACGGTACACCTGTTAAAAGAAATCAAGTCATCTATTCAACTATAATCAAGTTAGATTTTCACTATTGCTTTCACTTTGAAACACATTAACAATAACTTAAATACTACTTATGCAAGGGGTGGGGGGATAATTCCAAGATGCTACAAACTGGGGAAAAAAACTGATTTTGTAACTAAAGAATAACCTAATGTGTTCTAGTCCTTAAGAAGAGACTCAAATTTAACCATATTCAGGTTGATATTCCCTGTACATTTCCTAGTTAAGAAATACTGGTAAACAGGACCTTCCTCATGTATTTCCTATCTTGGCTAGTTGTTACACCTAGCCTTCCAAGTCAGAAACTTGAGTACCAATTTAGACTTTTCCTTCTCCCTTATCCCCCAACTGAAATGATCCTCAAGTCCTATTTTTTTTTAAGTGTTTCTCCAGTAAATTCTCTCTATTCCATCTGTCATGGCCTCATCCAATCCCTATTCCTCTCATATCAATGTCTCGAGTCACTGTCTTCTCAAAAATCCTTATTTCACATTGTTGTCAAGGTGATTTTCCAATTGCAAACCTAATGACTCTTCTGCTCAAAACTTTTCACTATGTCCCTTTCACCCACAGAATAACACCCAAGCCATATACATAATAGCACATAATTCTATGATTTGAGTTCTGTCTGCCTCTCAAACCTTATATCTCACTGCAATTCCCTCATCCTACACTTTAAACCCCATCAATATTAAGCTATACTGCTTAAATTTCCAGCATGGATCATGTTATTTAGTGTCTCCATGTTTTTGCATAGGTTGTTACTTCATCTAGAATTTCTTCACTTCTTTCCTTGACTTCCTAGACAATTATTATTAATCTTTAAAACCCAGCTCAGATTCCAGGAAACCATCTGCAACCATTATTATTATTTTCTCCTCTGCCAACTCTGTACATAATAATGCCATTTATTGAGCACTATGTCCCTGACAATATTAAAGGCATTTGACAAGAATTAATTCATTTAATCTTCATAATTATCCCTCCTATGAAGCAGTACCATTATTACTTTTGTGCAAGTAGAAATGAATTAGAGAGGTAACTTCCCCAAGGATACCCAAGTGGATAGAGACAGATCAAAATCCCTACATCATAACATTTATAATATTGTACCTTATCACAATGAACTTATTTACATGTGTATCCTTACTCTGGATTGTAAGCTCCTTGAGGGTGGGGAGCTTACGTCATATTTGATCAAATCAACAGTATCTGATATAAACTAGGCAATCAGTGCATGCATTTCTTGAATTGATTTTAAAATAACATTCCTAACAAGTTCAAGACAAAAGCATTTATAGTTTCAAAAAAAAAATTGAATATGCTGTAAGAGTTCTAGAACAGAACAAACTATTTTCTTCATCTAATAAAAAGGATGTTAAGAACAGAGGTTATTATAGACATGAGATTACAGTTCTTGTGGATGATAAAATGAACTTATTTTGTAGTAATACTGCTTAATCACTGCAATAAATCAAAACCCAAAGGACCATTTGCTTAAGATTAACTTTTTTCTTTCAGTAAATAAGAATTCTTGTTGCTTATCATTCAGAGCAGTGAAAAGAAAGCCCTAAATTTACTTTGCTCAAGTGGAAAGAAGCAAATCACCGACCAGCACTACTAATTGCTTCCTTAAATCCAGCCAAGAAATGTATCCCATTAGGCAATTAGAAGAAAATACAGTTGCCTGACTAAGCATTTAACAAAAGAATTTCTAAGGTTGTGTGGACTGGCATTCCATTATTCAAATAATGAAAAATTCTTTACCCTAAGCAAATAGAAATGAAAAAAAAAAAAAACAAAAACAAAATAAAACAGATTATCACCATTAGTCTTCCACATTAAAACATACATGTTATATTAAAATGTATGCATGTGTTTGCCCTGTTTCATTAGCCACTGCTATTTAAGATTATAAAAATCAAAGTTATTCTAATAGTAATGATAAATGACCTCAAGACAAAAATCTACTGTACTCAGTGTGCTCAGTTACAGTCTTCTGAGACATATTGGAGTACAGTAATTAAAATCCACAGGGACAGTATCAGCAGCAACAGTGCACATCACAGTACTTGTTTGAGTATTCTGCACCCCGCCCAGCCTCTACACACTTGTGCACTACAGAAAGGTAAGTCTGCTATCAAAAGTCTCAATAGTTAGGCCACAGTCAATTTAGGCCACAGCTCAGCAAATTCTAACCCCAAGCACATCTTACCATTTCTTTGTACACTCAACCATCAGCTCCTGGTAGGAGGCCACAAACTGGAACTTGGATGCATGTTTTCCAACACGCTGCAGTCTCTTCCAAACTGAAGCCATGATGATGGGTCAATAGACTGGAACAGTTCTGGGTTAGCAACACAGCAGCTTCAATAAAGCAGAGGGTCCAAAGCAAAAGAGCTTTGCATGTGTGTCTGTACTTTGAAAAACTCAATTACAACTTGAAATGTTTGGGGTCCATAAGTCTTCTCCCTGTTTCACAGGGTAAATCCCATCTTAGATGAATGGCCCAATCACCAACAGCATGATATACATGACAGGATGAATGAGAGGAGATTCCCTCAAGCAGCCATCACCATTCCACCTCAGGGGCTATAAGACTCCTATTCTGGAGGGCTGAAAAGCAAAACAAAGACAAAAAGAGAAAGAATATGAGGAGAGTAGCACAAAAAGTGACTAACCACCCATGTTGGATAATGCTGCAACAGACAACCCAGGTTCTCTGTATGTTTTTTTAAACAATGAAACAAAACACCAACCTCAAAAGCCAGTAACATCAAGAATTTAAGATAACAAGAAAGAAATTACAATTCACACCAAAGACATGGAGCAATATATCAGGTAATCAGCATCAACAACAATCACGGGCCCTACCTTCCCTCCTATCATCAAACAAGGGCGAGCAAAGCGGGAAAGTCTAGGGACGCGGTTTAATATCCATGGCCACTCAGAGAGAAGAGTAGAGTATTTTTAAATAAACTTTGTTTTTCAATAATAGCCTCGAGTTCTAGAATACATGCTTAGAACACTCTAGGGAGCAGGGAGGAATGCTGTTGTTCGGAGGGGCAAATGGGTGGGCAACGAGTAGTGGAGGGAAAGCTCAAGGCATAGGGAGGCAATATCCGGGCTCCAGGCCACTTGGGCTCCCTTCACCTTCGCTGCCAACTGGAGGGAAATGGAAACTCCTGCCTGGGCGTGAAGCAGTGACCAGTGCGGGCAAGTGGACTGTGCGGGGTGCGGTGCCGCCCTCCCCCATCCTCTGGGAACCAGCCTGCCAGAGGCTTGCCTCCTGTCCAGACCCCTGACCCCCAGCAAAGACAGGCGGTGGCCCACTGCGGTCCCTGTCACCCAAGCGTTGCCAGAGACCCCAGCCCGGTACCCGAGTCCCGGCCCCGCCGCTCGCCCACTCCCGCCCCCTCCTCACACCTCTATTCCCGCTGTCGGGCTGGGTCTGGCCCCGTTCCCTCCTCAGAGTCGCTCCTCCGTCGCCGCCGCAGCAGCAGCCGCCGCCGCCGCCACCGAGTCCTCCATCCCCGCTGGAGCCACATGGAAGAGCCAAGCCAGCTGCGGCGCTAGCGGGAGCCGGGGTCTGCAGCCCCTCAGGCGGCCGGCGCCCCTCCGCCCGCCCCCTCCCTGACGGATCGCCCTGCGACCGTCTCCCACCCTACCAAACCCTGCCAGAGCCGCCGCTCAGCGCCCAGTACCCCCTCCCCCGCCTTCCTCCTCCGCCACCATCATCATTACCTCCCCCGCCGCACCTCTCACACTAACCCTACCCACAGCAGCTCAACCTCTGTCCGCCCCGGCGCCATTGGCCGGGCCCCGCGTGAGCCCCGCCCACCTCGGCCGCCGGGCCTTAGCTCGGTTGGGGCGCCTCATTGGCAGATCCGCATGCCCATCACAAGGGCCCCACCCCCTAGCTAGCGAGGTGTTTTTCCCTCGACCGGAACGCGGCGCACAGTCTACCCTTCTTATAAAAAAAATAGGAACCCACTAAGGACAATCCCGCCCATTCCTTTGATTGGCTGGAAGAGGGAAGCAATAGGCGGGAGGAGGAGTGTTTATATTGAACTGGAAGTTGATCGTGGAAGGTGGCTTTCCGTCAAAGGCACCGCCAGCTGCAGAGCGGGGGGCGGGGGGGGGTTCTGGCTCTCGGTGGTGGTGGTGGTGGTGTTGGCAGAGTTAGGGGTTGGTTTTGCTGCCGCTGTGGGTTGTCGTTGAGGCTGCTGTCAGTTGTCTCTCCCATTCGCCTTTCACCACCTAGGACCTGGGCGAGCCCTCTCTTCTGCCTCTAGGAACTGGGGTTTTGCATACACAACCTTTTTTTATTTTCACCCAATTCCTCCCCGTTTTGTTCCCCCCACACACACCCCGCCCAATGAACAAAATTAAGGACCCTCCCAGACCCACCCATACCCCTGTCCAAGGTTCAGTCGATTGGTACTCAAGGAGATTTAGTAAGCTGAGCTAGACATAAAGTGTGTACACCACAACTTCTCCTTGTTCTGATTCAATATTATTATTATTTGAATCTTGATTTCTGGGGTTTATTATCCCTTGGTATGAACTGGATGGATTTGGGAGTGGCTGGCTATTTAAAAAGATGGCTAAAGGGATGAAATAAAAAAGAGTGTGAGAGCAGGAGTAGTTAGCCTTGTTTAAAAAGCCATGGTCCCTTTTGAGAAAATGAAAGCTATAAACACTTTCTCAAGGAGGAAAATTACCTTATCACAAAACAAAAATTTTGCTTTCAATTTTAGCTGGGGCACAGACCACTGGTATAGAGGAAAGAGGACAAAGAATAAAGTGTTGTGGGAATCCTAGTACTTAGGAACTAAGAAGAGTAAAGTCAGAAAGAGACTGAGGACAAATGGTCAGAGAAGTAGGAGCATTAGGAAAGCTCCAGAGGCAAATAGTTTGGAAAAAGAGAGGGAAGCTAACATATGAAAAGAAAACAGGAAGTCTGGGCCCTAGACACAACGGAGGGTCAGTCTTAATTTTAGTACAGTTGGAAAGCAAGATGCATGGACAAAGTACCTTAAAAAGGTATTAGAGTTTTTATGGGAGGATTCTTTGAAGGAGAGTAAAGGAGGGTAGTGTTGAGTGGGAATTGAGAATATCTGTAGACATTGGGGGACAAGAGAAAAGGGAAAGACAAATATTGAAGATTTAGGACAAATGGAGAGAGAGAAGCATTGAATGCAGTATCCAATTCTATTTTCAGTTTCAATAAAGTGATAAATAATACCATAAAAACAAAGTATACATCTTACAGAAAAAGACAGTTATCACTTATTTTGCCAGTCTTCATTCTAAAATGTTGAGATAACCACAATAGTTAAATTGATTCTTATTTTGCATTCACCTTAGCATTCTCTGATGTCCTTCTTGAGTGGTTTTACTAAGTCACTACAACCTATAGTTATTTTGACCTCATGTAGTATTCTGTATCATTAATAGGTCAAGTGTATGGACTCTTTTTAGTGGCTGATAAATAGAAATGGTCATAAATTATGTTCATTCAAGTTGCCCTTCAAGAACAACAAACATAATAGAAGGTTTTTACATTTTATTTATTTTTGTTCTTCATAAAATCTCATGCTCGTGTGGTCATCCTGGTTTCTTTTAATATTCTTTGCCTTCCCTCCAAAAAAATTGGTTGAGGGCAAAGGTAAAAGAAAAAGAAAGAAACTTTATTGTAAAGAAATTTTCTTAAAAGCAATGAGTTTTAAATAATCAGTGTCTTTCTTTAAAAAGGAGGGAGAGAGAGTTCCTTGGGGAATCTTCCTCAAGTTGTGGAAAATTTCAAGAGACTTATAGTTTCTTATAAAACTGCTCTTCTTTTTAGGGGAAATGTTTTTCTTGGATGTCGACTTTTCATTCTAGCCACTGAGTAGCTAAGAGACCAAGGTTAGATTGTTTACTGAATGAGTAAAGAAATTAAGAGTAGACCTTGACATTGTTCTACTGCTGAGTTAAATGCATAAAGGCTGTCTCCAAGAGACCCCACAGAGCAGCTTCTTCTCCCAATAACACTTTTAAAAGTTTAATCGATGGTACTAAATAAATAAATAAAAGAAACCTGTCTGCTAAAAAATTTTTTAGAAGAGGGGCTGAGATTGTGGCTGAGTGATAGAAAGTGTGAAGCACCGAGTTTGATCCTCAGCACCGCATAAAAATAAATAAAATAAAGGTATTGTGTTCATCTACAACTATTTTTTAAAAATTTAGAAAAACTTTATAGAATATTGAGATCTTTTGGTTTGCTTAGCTGGTAATTATTGAGTACCAACTGAGTATTGATCATATTATATACTATTTAAGAGTACATAAAAATTAGTTCCCATTCTCCAAGAATTTTCAGAAACACATGTTCAGCATTTTTGCAAGAAAATAACAGAAATTGTACTTAACCTTTCAGAGTCCCAACTTCCTATTGAGTCCCAACTTCCTAAAACCAGTATCAGGCCCATCTTTCCAGTATGTTAAGAAGATAGAAAATACGAACATAAAGTTCCTGGCACATAATAAAACAGTAAAATAATAATTACTAGCACATTCTGTTGTGATTGCTGTTAGTAAACATGAACAGGCCAGGGGGAAAAAACCCAGAACTTCGATAAAACTTAGGCAATACTTATTTGGTACCAAACGTCACTATCTAAAGGACTAAAGACTTTCAAATAGTACATTCAACATTATTTCTTTTCTGTTAACTCAGTGGGTACCAAGATTGGAACACCAATAATTTAGGTGGACTCAGGATTTTATTATAATTACTAAGAATGACTCAATCCCCATGATCACTATTCATGCCCTATATTAGCTGGAATCTTTTAGCATGCTGAAGGCTATATTTTTCCTGAAGGCTATATTTTTCCTACTATAGGAAATGTACGTTCTACTGACCCTCCCCATCCAGGATTGCCCACTGAGTTTCTTCTGCTCCTTAATAACACCCAGCCCTACTCAGGTCTTGATTTATCATCTTCACCAGTCCCAGGCTTAAACTACAAGAAATAGATTATAATCTATGTATGCAAATTTTTTTAATTGGCCTTTCTATTTGACCCTGGTTGTTGACTCCAAAGTTTTATGGATGTTTTTCTTAATAGAAGATTCAACATTTTCAAATAATTTCAACTTTGCTTTTAAATATCAAATGTAAAATGAAGATAAAATACAAAGAAATAAGTGGAAAATACCACCCCCAAAACTTTAAATCTTCTCTGCCATGACAGTTAAAAGTTTAAAAATTCCTTTCAATGAAGCAGCTTTTCTCTAGTTACTACTTCCAAAAATCCCCAAATGGAGAGTCTATAGTATGAAATGCAGCCATAGGCTTGAATTATTATTGTCTTTCCTGGTGATAAAATTCTTATCTTTGGGTTTTACAGTTTTTGCAGTACACATTGTCAGAGGTATTATTGCAGGATTTAACTACTAACGGAATTTGTGCCTTAGTCCTAATAAAACGATTTACTCCCAGGTTTTTTCATTGTTTTATCCAGTTGCCATAGCAGTTATTCTATACACAATCATATTACTGCAATTTATAACTGCTAATGAAATTGTTAAAAACCTGCAGCCAAAAATTATTCCCAATAATCCTACAGCAAATTTTATGACCTTAAAAACTCAATGTCTCAGACTAATACTTTTGAAATTTTAACTGATGGGATTTTTAGACTTTTTTTTTCTTTCGGGTATTTCCCTTTCTATCCTATGGCTTTTCTTATACACCCTAGCATCACATTCACCCTCATTTATGCTCATCTTTGCTCATTGTTTCAGGAAAGGAATATAACAATGTAGAAAAACAGAAATTTTTTTACTTAGTTTTTGAGTTTCAAAAGTCTTGCCTTTGGGTGAGGGGGGGTATTGAAATGGAATCCAGCTAAAAACCTGCACTCCTCCATACAATAGCTTCTAATGAACATATGAAACGTGGTTAATCCAAAGTGAGATGTTATAAGTACAAAATACGTACTGATTTTAGACTTAGTATGTAATAAATAATGTAGTATATCTTATTATTCATTTTTATATCGAGTACATGTTGAAATTATGGTCCTTTGAATATATTGGTTTAAACAAAAATATTAGAAATTTATATCAACCTGTTCTTTTCCCTTTTTAATATGGCTACTGGAAAAATGCAAATTACATATGCAACTCACATTATTTCCCTATTGGACAGTGCTGGTGTAGACAATAATAAAACTTCCTTTCACAGAGATGAGAAATAGATTTCTTAGGGTAAAAATGGAAGAAGAAAGTTGGAGGGATGTAATGAAAGCCTAGATACAATGGATCCCTGAAAATAGGATCTATTCTTACCCTATTCAGATACAAGTTTTGGGTAAGGTAGCTAAAATGGCAGGATCTACGTACAGGACCTGAAAGTTGAGAGATATAACTTATGTGACAAGCTCCTTAAGAGGGAAAAAAACAAAACAAAACAAAAACTAGGCCATGTATCTAGGCCAGCTGAGACTTCAGAGTGGCACAGTCCATTAGAACTTTCTATGATATACCTACTTGTCCAACAGAGTATTAACCACTTAGATCTGTTTGTCACCTGAAATATGGATAGTGTTA